AATATTATGGCATGCCTAACTGTGATCCCTGATTTCCTTTGTCCACCTTATTAGATTTTCAAGTCCTTGAGACCTGGCACAATGACCATGTCATTGTCCTCTTTGTCATCCAGGCATCGCATGGAGACTTATGCAGATCATTAGTAAATGAGGATTTAATGGATGGATGCATCTCCTAAAACCATGCTTAGTACAGACACAAAATCATAATGACTTCTCTCTCAGTAGAAGCAGCTGCAATACTACTGAATTAGGTTAATGTCAACTAGGAATTTAGCAGACATCTTAAAGACTGCAAAGAAGAACAAAATGCAAATGGGATATGCCTGTGTCTGTGTATATAGGATGTGGTAATGTGTCGGGGGCAGTCTGCAGTATCCTAAGGGCTCCATCCAGATCTGGCCTAGCCCTGCTGCCCCATTACTCAGGCATTCTGGCTGCTGAGCAGTCAAGTCCTGTCCCTAATTGGAGAACTACCAAAACCAAAGGAAAATCCATTCTATGGTGAGAGACTTTTTCTCTTCATAATGGGTGTAATCAAGATTACCTCTTCCCCAATGTTGTAATAAAAAAAGAGATTTGCATGATAATAGGTATCTAAGCTTATCTGCTCCAGCTGCTTTATTCCCTTGAATGAAGTCAAAGTATTCATGTTATGAGATCACTGTGTTCCTTATCTCCTTCCTCCTTTCCACCACCCATATCCAGTCAATCCCCAAATCTTACTGATTCTTCCATTTGAATCTTGACTCTATTTCTATCCATCACAATTTCACAACGGCCAATAAAGCTATCTCTCTGGCCCAACTCCCTTTATTCTCCCACTCACGTACTCCTCTTCAGCCACCGGCCTCCTCACTGTTCCTCTGAACAACAGGTAACCTCTGATCCCAAGACCCTTGCAATTCTGCTTCTGCTGCTTCAAATGCTCTTCTCTCAGATATCCGCATGGCTTGCTTCCTCACTTCATTCAGATATGTGCTCACATGTTACCTTCTCGGTGAAGCCATCACTGATCACTCTACACAAAAAATCGTTCCCCACACAACACTCCCTTACCCTCATCCCTCTTCCTGATTTATCCTTCTCCCAGGCAATTACAACTAGGTAAGCACAGTATATATTTATTTATTGTCTTTCTCCCCACTGGAGTGTAAGCTCCAGGAGGGCAGGGAGTTCTGTCTATTTTGGTCACTGCTGACTCCCAAGTGCCTGGAACAGCACCTACCAAGAAACAGGTGCTCAGTATTTTCTGAAAGAACAAACAAGACTACTTCCATCTCCACTGCCTCTAACCGAATTCAAACCACTGTTGGTTCTAGCCCACAGTACTGTCACTGCTTTTTTAATAGGTCTTCCTGCCTTCAGCCTGAAACCCACATATGTCATCCTTGCTGCCTTGGGGATAAAGCCCAAACTCACTATGGCTCAAGTCTCTCATGATCTGGTCCTGCACCTCTCTAGCCCATCCCACTTTCCTTACACCACAGCTATGCTCCCATTATTCTAAATTATTTTTAGTGCCCCCATGGAAGAGCTTACTCTCATTTCTAGGCCTTTCCACAAGCTGCTCCCTCTCCTAGAACGTTTTCATCATTCTCCTGGCTACTTACCCCTTCCTTGGTCTGGCTCTTACTTATGCTTCCTCCAGGAAACTTTCCACTACTCTTCAAGACTGACGTAGGGGGAAACTTCTGCGTGCTTCGGAGCACACACACGTGCCTTCCCTTACTCAGCATCGACAATGTCGCATCACAACTGCCTGTTCGATGGACTATATCACAATTATAATCAACATGAGGTGGACATGGTGCCACGAACATAGCAGGTACTTAATAAAGTTTGTTGAATGAAAAACTGAGTAAGTGAACAACTTTCTAATCTAGTGTTCTCTTTGGCAAATTATTAGTAGTCAGGTCTTTGATTCCTTTTACATACATTCAGAAGGGATAAAAATATCCAGAAGAAAACTGAAAAATGAAAAGTAACTTTTTAAAAAAGATTTTTTTATTTATTCATTTGAGAGAGAGAGCAAATGAGAGCACAAGCAGTGGGGAGGGTCAGAGGGAGAGGGTGAAGCAGACTCTGTGCTGAGCAGGGAGCCAGACGCGGGACTCAATCCCAGGACCCTGGATCATGACCTGAGCTGAAAGCAGACACTCAATCAACTGAGCCACCCAGGCACCCCAAAAGTAACTTTCTAATTGGGGTTTGAAAAACATGGGCGCCTGGGTGGCTCAGTTGGTTAAGCGACTGCCTTCGGCTCAGGTCATGATCTCGTGGTCCTGGGGTTGAG